TTTGCTATCATGACATCCTCAACTATTATGTTTTTTGTATGTGTATTTGAATGTAATAAGAGGGGACGGCACACCCCTTTACCCTATTCTTTATTACAGAAGGTAGGTTATTGACCCTGCTAATATATAAGAAAAAAGGGATATGACGGTTTAGCAAGATCTAATGAATGAAACATTTCTAGTACGACGCCTTTTTAATATTATTTAGTAGTCAGAAACAAAACTGTTACAGCGCATCCACATTTTAGTGGTACATAGTTTAACTAGAATAGGAAACTATTAGCCAACATCTTCCTTTTAGAAAATCTCAATAACATTTTTATATCTGAGACCCGAAATCTAGATTTCATTATTAGCAGTGAAATTTGTAACTTTTTAACAATTCCGATGCAATTAAACTGTATTAATAAATACGATTAATATTATATGCAATAAATGTATACACGTTCATGAAAATTTTCCTAACCTAACCTATCTACTTGCATATTCCTACAAAACTTCTGTGAGATAAGAAACTGAACTCCTTGCAAAGTCATGAAACATTAGCACAAATTATCAAGTAAAATACTAATTAAAAATTGGTACATTGCACAGTTTGCAATTCATTATTCAACCTCGATGGTAAACTAGCAACTTTATTACTAGTTCGCGGCGGCTGAGCGCTGCATTATTAAGGCATGGTCGACTCCATTTACCCATGTAATGTGCCGTGGAAAATGTTTGTATGTACGTTAAAATAGCAATTATTTTACTTCAGCCACGTTATGGCAACTGCCTTGTGTTATTTTAGAACCAGAATATTAGGTAAAAATTACGTGTATGGTGAGTATTCATTTTAAGGGTCTACGATTATTTTATCATCCAATCTCCCAAATTCCTGAATCCCCAACGATCCTCAAACTCCTAATCCCCAAAAGGCCGGTAACGCACTTGTAACGCCTCTGGTGTTCCAGATGTCCATGGCCGACGCCGATTGCTTACTTTCTGGTGATCCGTATGCTCGTTTACCGGCTTATGCCATAAATAAAGTAGGTAAAGTTTAATTGTTTTTTGATTTATTTACTCCCGGTTTAATTATGGCATAACCGATTTAATTTTTATTTATTTATTCTTCTATGTACAAAATTTTATTATGGCACGTAAGGCGAACTTAATGCCATATGGCATTCTCTGCCAGTCAACCGTAGGGTTTAAGTAGAAAATCAGCGAAAAATAAGGTACGGAGAATAAAGTAACAGGAAAGAGAGAGAGAGAGAGAGAGAAAAAGAAAATATTAAATAATATAGCTATATTATATATGGTCATAAATATATATCGACGAAGGCCTAAACTTTATTAGGAGCTTTTTTGATATTGAGGGAACATAATAATGTAAAGAAACTAAAAAGAAAGACTTGTTAAGCATGTAACCTACAATAGGTTGGAAGTCAAAGAGCGTAGGGTAGTGCAGTCAAAATACCTTTTGTTACACGTTCCAAATCGGTAGACAAAAGGCTTTCGGTAATACAATTGCACCTGGCTACTTCCAGTAAAATCTTGTTCCAATAAATAAAGCGCATTCAGCAGATTTAAAGTAAATTGTGGCGGGCGCTGCATTGTTTCAGTATCTACTTTTGGGTGGCTGCATGTATTAATTTATTCAGCACGATTTTCGCTGCTCGTGCTTTTGTTATATGTAATCAGTCGATTGGACATATCAATCTCCGGTTGAATAAGTGCGTATATTTTTATGTGTACACCTAAAAATGAAAACAACATTATTCTTTGTTAAACGAACAACAATAACAATGCATATTTTTATATGAAAAATTTTTTCTCCCGTATCGGGCTGCAGGTTTACTTTAGCTATATTTTTCATTTCAATTTTATACGGTTATTGAAAATTCCATTAAAAAACTTTCTAGAAATATAAATGGTTCTTAGTTATATTATTCAATTCAGTTTAACGAGCTTTGTAATCCGTGTTTATTTTGAGAACTTATATTATCATTTCATTTGTAATACAACATTACGCATTTACGCATAACCATAGCAGTATTTTAATATGGGTTTTATATCACTCTGATAAAGTTCTCACTTCTTATTTTCACTTCTAATTCACTTACACTTAATACTGTGCAAATGGAAAGTTGTCGTTGAGACACGGGTCACAAAGGTCGAGCATACGTACCCTAACTTTAGCGTCTAGGGATTTATTGGACATCTGATTCCGACAAAGTAAACTTTGGCCAAACATTTATTAGGACCCAAGAGATACTTCCTAAATCTTGTTGGATCAAGTAGTGGATAAAAAAATAATATATCATGGTTAAGAGGGTACTTAAAACTTAATTGCGGGAGTTTGCACTTTCACCCGAATTTAGGGAGACAAGGTGCCTACTTTGTTATTTATGGCACACTAAGAATGACTATTGAAACAGTATCATCCTAGTACGTTACTAAGGGACGATATTCCAGTAAAAAGTACCAGGGCCTGCCTGATTGTTAATGTGATTTGCAAACGACGCTTGCTGCAATTTTGTGTGGAAAGCAAAAAACCGTTTCGTTTTTCTTTTATATGAATATCATTTGCATGCTAAGCCATTTATCTGGGTCAATTTGATTTTAGAAAAAGTTAAATAAGACAATGAAAATGGGTAAAATAAAATAATAAATGGAAGATTTAGTTTGCCATTCGCTGTAAAAGAATGGAAAGGTTTTTATCATCTAGTGTGGGCTAAAAAAGTCTGGGTATCCAAACAACAGGGGTTTTTATTTCGGTGAGTCCGGAAATGAATGTATGGCATCACCGAACGGGAAATATGTCCCAAAAAGCGGTAGTGTAACAAAATGTTTTACTCCATATAGAACAGAGGTAATCCTATGTAGGTACTGGAACTGCGGTCGCCTTACAAATTGCATTGCTACAACGAGCTACGAGATACGACCGCAATCTAGACAACGGCATAAAACTAAGCCTTTAAAATGAATATGCTCAATACGATGTTCCAGTCTTTGAGTTTGACCAACTTTAAATAAAGGAAGTTATTCATTTGATGCCAAATGATATTAGATTAGAATTTCAAAGTAATAATATAAGTCTTATGCCTACATACTGAATTTCGGTTTACAATTAGGACTAGGGACCTTTAGCCAGTGAATTATTTTAAAGTCTATTACTAAGTCCGATTTCTGAACCGAGTCAGCAACGTAACACAAAATGTTGTGGTCTGAAGTACATGCCTAACTGAACACTCATTCGTAGCTACACAAAACTGAAGCACTCACAGTTATTTACTGAAAATTTCGTGTAACATCGCTGCTAGTCTCTTTAGGGAAAACCAAGCGTGATAACGTGCTCTGTTGATTTCCTATTTACATTATGATTTATGAAAATACTTTAACACCAGTTCTCTATTTAGACATCGCTATTAACGAGCCAAAACCTACCGACGGTTATTTATGGCCAGCCATTTCATAGTCGAGTCACGATCTCTCTTTCTGGGAGCGTAAACGTATACTTTAACTTGGAAAGTCCTCGGGAATAGGATGAATTCAAAGTCTCTTAATTATCTCAAATATTATGACAATAATTAAGATTCATGCGTAATGAATCTGAATACAAAATGAATGTAACTTAATCTTATTTCGGTCAAATAGCGATTATAGTATCGCATCTTTTGAAATAAATACCATAGCAGTGGGTATGGCTTATTGCAAACATAAACTTTGAGTTTTGTGAAATTCATAAAACCAAAATCTCAACAATGGGTACTGCATTCAACATGAGAATTGCGCTCGACCTCGTGTCTAGCACCAAGTGCCCTTACTAAACAGAAAGTCTATTGTTGTAAACCTACAATCTCCACCCAACAAAGAAGTCGTTAGACATTAAAGAAAGCTATTATTATGAAATTATTTTTGACAATAAACCATTTCGTGTTCAAAGTATGAAAGTAGGATAAACAAACCGGTGGTTCGGTGTGGCCTTGGTGCGGTGTCAGCCAGGAGCCCGAGGCAGTTGCGTGAGTCAGTGAGTCGGTCACAGTGACAGAATAAAACACAAAGGGTGTAAGCCTGCGAATGATTCTAGTTTGACGCTAGAACGTGTTCGGTAGTGACGATTTCACACTATAAGAGAGAACTCGAATAATAGGCCGTCCTTTGTGCCAGAGACGTGGCTCGCGATACTGACATTGTTCCGCTTTGAAGTGCGAAGTAAAAAAGAAACGAGGGATTACCGAATACCTAAATGGTTTCAGTGCAAGCTTGCTTTAAGCTAAGTTTAGGTAATAGTTTTACTGAAATTTGATCCAATACGACGACGTATTATCAAAAATCTCATCAGCGTATCAAAGTACTGCAATCATTTTGAAAATTGTTAAAAGGTATTAAGCCCAAGTTTAGTACCCAATTTAAAATTAAAATGTTACCATGAAAATAAAAATAATATTATTATCTGTATGCATATAGGTGTATTAAATTAATATTTAAGGCTTTTCAAATACCTTAGTTAGCTTCCTAACCTAGCTAGATGAATCTGGACTAAATAGGTAAGGCATAATATATGATCGTGTTCTTCATTCATGACACATTTATGGCTTGCTACCGCATCGGGCTTATACATTAAATAGGTAATCAAGTATTCACCGTGCGGTTAGGGGCTTATCCATAACAATACTTTGTCCTGACTAGACACACCAGGAAATGCATTATTCAGCTGAGTACATAGTCTATTTTATTCAGCCAACGTTGCACGGGAATAATCCAATATGTAGGTATTTAGCATTTCCCTTCCTCATAGCATACATTAAAATTTCATAAACAGATCGTAAATGAACTGTAATAAAGCGAACTTTGGGTTAGTATAATATTTTGGTGTTCTGCGCTGTTTAAATACACTCTGTCAGTAAATATCACGTATGACTATTATTATAATGTACTAGTAGTTCTTGATTGTTTCCTGGGTATGTAAGTACATATTTTCTGTAGGTACAATTAAAAAAAGTTATAAGACTCACCTGTTTTCACCAGTTTGAAGGTTACTTGTTGTTGATTCTTAAGTTGTTCATTATGCGTCGGGTGCGTGAGTTCTCGCAAAGCCATCTCAACAGACGGTTGCTGCTGCATGATGGTAGGGCGCGGCGGCACCGACTGATCTCTCGCTCTACTCAGCTTACGGAAGAAACTAACTTTCTTCGACTTAGGTGGACCTGGGAAAAACAGAGTAATTCCAATTTGAAATTACATGCAAAGTAAGCATTGCAAAAATATTAAAATAATCAACACAAAAACCCTCACACTGTTATGTTTAACCTCATGAACGTGACACGTGCCTAGTGAAGCATTAATGCTGTTATTTCGCCATGTACCCATGCTTAATTAATGTGAAGATACGGGTTAGTTAGATGATCACGCGTTTTCAAACTCAAACCGCACTCTCATTCAGAACCTTCAGTAGACGAACGTTGTGGTGTTGGTGTCGAAGGTGTGGACGTGCGAGCTGAGGTCGCGGGCGAGGAACTCGGCTCGGACTGGGGCCGCGGTGGAAGAAGGCTCAGCGTAGACGCTGTTGGTGTTGGAAAGTGTGCAGCCGAGAGATCTGATCGGCGATCCGGTTCCGGTGTAGTGACTCGGATATGGGCACCAAATTGCGGTGAGTTCGCGACTTCGAACAGTGCATCGAAGTCGCGATCGAATATGTTCTTTCTGGAGAACGCAGGAGTAGGAAGGGGTGCGGGCAATTCAAATTCATCGGGAGCGGGGGTCCTAACAATTTTGCCGAATTCAGTATCCTCATGGCGGCCGAGCTTCTTGAGCAGCTTTGCTTTGGTGCGCTCGCGCAGCTTTGGGCGCTCGAGCGACGGCGTCGGCGATGCCGGCGCGCGCTCTGGAGGCTCCGGAGGCGCCGTTTTGAGGTGGGTTTTGTCGCAAGAGAGGGTGGGGGTGCGGGGCAGGGGTAGCGCGCTGTACGGCGCTCGCGGCGGCGGCCCGTAGATAATGTCAAGCGTAGGCCGCTGCCGTGGCCGAGGCAGCGATTGCGAGCTGTATGTCAGGGAAACTACTTCATCCGCAGGATATATTACGTACATCCCTGGCGAGACCGCATCGCGCAGGCCCCTCGCGCCCTCCGAAGAGGTTTACGCGCGTCGATTGAGCTACTACTAAGATCTAGTGGCAAGTAACTTTGTTCAGTACTTTACAGAGAGTAAAGTAGTTGGGACACGATTTACACAGGAATAAGTTACAAAGTTTACGTCGATTGGAATGTTTTTAAATGTTAAGTTGCCTTTTGCGTACTACAATGTAAGTTGAAGAGCGATCAAGGAATGTTTTATGGAAGGGATCTTGAGCCATATTAGGTAGGGGGTAGGAAGGTTTCTTCGTGTAGTGTCTGCCAATTCCGTACAACGAATCTTCAACCTAGAGAAACAAAAAGCTATGCTTATTACCTGGTGAACATAGTCACGAACAAAGGAAAATGTGAGGTAAATAATGACACTGTAGCATCTGTTTATTTTGTAGTCATGTTTGTAGCAAATAGAACCTAAACTCAAACAGCCTCTGTACACGCACGCTTGACATCGTAATGTTACATACGAGTACGTGAAAAGCGACATTGCACACTAAATTGCACTGTTGTTTATTACACTTACATGTTCATCAAAACTTTACCAAAATGTTTAAATAAGTGAACTGTTTTAGCTAGTACGTGTCAATTTTATCATGCGCTATAATAATAATAATAATATATAATTATAATCCATTATTCTATGTAGTAAATATTATAATATTACGATGATAACAAATCACCATCATGCTGATAATTACCGCTGTAATTAGTAAACACTTCCTAACTAAACAAAAGAAGGTCCACTGTAGTACAAGCGAAGTTTAGCTTGAGTATAAACTAGAAAGCAACTTAGACAAACGGGTCAAGTGTCACCACAATAGAGGGCTGGGGAGCGAAGTGGAGTAGCTCTCAAATTTTTTCACGAACGTGGCGATTCTCTACAGATTCATTTAAATTTGCCTTTGCTTACGCTAATAAGGGAATGCTTTGTGACCCCACGTTTTAATAAGGTCGGAATATGTATGTCGGATCTTTTTATTTAAATTATACTTACTCAAGTTTTAAAATTCTGAGGTGTGCGTTAAACACGTATTCATTAAGTACCTATAGGTACGTACATTGAGCGCGTGGTTAATGCTAAAGTTTTAAAAAGATGTGTATTTTATCCACATTTTTTACTAGTTGAGTAAATCATGACCTGCACTTACATCATTCGTAGCATTACATTCTTGTTCGTTAGCGATTAGTGAAGCTGATGGGACGCCATTATGTCCCCCAAGGATGTGCTAAAAATCAGCTCTGGACGCTAACTTCTCGAGGTTTAAGTCGTAGGAATTGCTGCACACGCATTACTTGACGCACAATATTAACGCGATGGGATTTACATGCAACAAGTATAGGTACAATCATATGGTATAACTTCAAATTGTTTCGTTGTAACAAAACAATTTATGAAGTAGAGTAAAGTCTTCTTTGCTTATGGTCCACAGGTAATAGTTGTTTTTATAACATTAGCAATTCACCCCGTCTGTGGACCATGGACAAGACTTCATTTTGTTTGAGCCTTGGTATATTAAGTTTTATGTATTTGATTATCTAGTTATACCTTGGTTTACCTTCGCTTTCTATTATATTTTATTTTTTGTAGTTTTTAATTAAGTTTATGTTATGTGTGTTCTGAGCAGAAATATTTTTTTAAATTAGATGGGACTGACGTTTGACCACTCTCGCCTGGTGGCAAGCGATGATGTGGCCTACGATGGAACACGTCGACCCATAAGCAACCTATTCACTCGGGATTTGAAGACACCCTTCAGGAAATACAGACTCTGGCAAAGAATTCCACTCCTTAGCAGTAAGCACAAGAAAACTTGATGCGAAGCGCTTCGTGCGTATGGGTAAATAAATAAATAAATAAATGGTTTCTTTCTTTCTAGTTAAATCAATATTTTGGCACTTATATTATAGGTATACGGTTTCCAGTAACAAATCGAATATTTTTAAGGACATTTTGAGCTTAACCCATGACTAATTGAAATACAAACTTAACATCACCATTATATGACAATAATTTATAAAAATATCCACATTAACAATACGTTAATTGACCTATTCAGACTCAAATCACGTAAAGCAATTAGACAATACATGTGAGATTTGTATGAGTCTGATGTTGTAAGCGGCATTTTAATAGACGGCTCCAGTTTCAAGTAATCCCGAGAGGAATTGTTACGCCACAGAAACAAATACTCGTACTGTGGCTTGGTAGATACGAATTTGTTAAGCATATCAAAATAACAGTAAGGATAATCATTGTTGTTCATTGTATAATAACTGCTGTTTTTTAATTAATTTGCAAGTAATTTTGGTTTCAAATCTTGATAAAATTAATTATAAATTTAATACGTCTAGTATTAGCTGCGAAGTATAATCTAACCAATATTATAAATGCAAAAGTTTGTGAGGATGTATGCGTGATCAAATTTGGAGGGGTTATGTTCTGGAATAACATAACATCACGCCTTGTATCCTCGAAGGGGTAGGCACAGGTGCACATTACACCACTGTACAATGTAACACCCACTTTTCACTATATATGTTACGAGTCCCATGTAATAGGGGGTGAGCCTATTGCCATATATCGGGCACAATTCCAGACTCCGTGCTACTACTGAGAATTTCTAAAAACCCAGTAATACTCTGCCCGACCCGGGAATCGAACCCGAGACCCATTACCTGGCAGTCTCACTTGAGACCACTCGGCCAACGAAGCAGTCAACTATTAAGTAGTAATTAATCTGGAATAACACATAGGCTACTTTTTATTCTACGGAAACGCGGGCGTAGTCGCTAGCAGAAATAATATTTATAGATTTCAATTAATTCCAACATTCCTGGAAACAACATTTTCGGGACACAATGTGTTGACATTGTACCCAGTGTATGATAACTACTGATGGTAACGTATGACATTACCTACTATTATATATGCATAATAAAACTGCTATATATACATATATAGGTCACATGAAATACCTTTGAAGAATACACAGGTTTATTCTATTTTAAAATAATTCGCTCGAACAGATTACTAAACAACCTTTTAATATTACAACGGTCCATTTAGTTTTTATGTACTAGCAAGCAGTCTTCGTAACAACAGCACGATTTCAACTTGTCTTTGAAAAATCAGAGAATGAAATTGGCTTTTGTTGCAAAGAAATGTAATGGCGGCAAGCGAGGTATTTTTAAATTCGATTTAAAATTATTCTTTAGCAAAAAAGTTGTATTTAGCGTTCAATCCATTGTAAGAGAAATGGTTCTTTAAGATGACTGCAATAAATATGGTACAAAATAAATTTTACAAATTATTAGAATGTTTAGTTGAGCGGACAGACTCTAAAGGTTTTAACATAACATAACATT